CGGGGCGGCCGGCGGAGCGGACCCCGGGCCTCGCCGCGCCTCGGGGCGGCCTAGCGAGCTCGGGCACGGGGAGCCCGGTAGGGGTAGGCCTGCCCGGCGGAGGAGCCCGCCTCGTCCCCGGCCCTAGAAAGCGCCCGGCGTGGCCCGGCCCCGGGAGGAGCCCGCCGCTCCGGGCCCCGGCGGCCGCCGAGAGGCGTTAGGGGAAGCTCCGTGCCCAGGCCACGCCGTACATAGGGGCATGTAGGTAGGTGTGCCTGCAGGAGCCGGCCGTGGTAGTTGTTGTCCGAGAAAAGAAATGTGACAGCCTGTGCAAAATTACACTCCCGCTGCGGTTTGTATCTCCCTTCTGCGACTTGCCCGAGTCCTTAAATTCCCTTTGGCACCTTAGCAGGGCTGTTGAGGTACTTTGCACTTTGTTTCCTAAGTGAATTAAGTGCTTTTCTTTCTTTGTGTATTGAGTTGCTATTGAATTGCTTCCCATATTTTTATTTCATACAAACTGAACAATTGTGGCCCCTCTATTTTATTTATAAAGGTTCAGTGTATCTTTGCCTGCCTACATCAATCTGCAAGGGAGTTGCAGAAAAGCCTCATGTTCATCGAGCCGTGAGTCACAACCAATTTTTAAAGCTGTTATAACAAAAAAAAAAAAGTGTTTGCTTTTTTTTTCACAAGTAACTTTTAAAGTGTAGCTTAGAAAGAAAAAAAAAAAAGAAATTAAAAAAAAAAACATTTTCAATAGACACAACATTATTCCTGGATGCTTGCGAATCCTAAACTATATTCATACTTTAGTATTACACATACCTGTGTCATATACACAGATGAGCTTTAAAATTGTCACATAGCATTACCACTTTGCCTTTACTTTTATGTATCATTCCCCTGACTTCCTTACTGCAGGTGTGGGCAAGAAAACTTTTCCTTTAAAACTTTTCAACAGTGGGCATAAAATTCTGCAGCTGAGGTCTTGAAGAATGCAGATGGGTATTGTATATGTTGGAGCTCGCAGTGTGTATTGACTAACTTTGTTTCTTTTTTTATTTTTATATTTTTTTGCTTTTTCTGATATTGTCTTGTTTATAAGTGGCTCCTGAGTGTAAAATGTCTTCTGAGGGTGGGACGTGGGAGGGAAGCAAAGCTTCGTGTTCCAGGCCGAGACCTACAAGATCCATCTTTGCACGGCCTTGGAAAGCACGCGTACTGCCTGTTTGGTTTTCAAACCCAATGGACCGATGTCGTAATTATCAGATGAGCAAATAGCAAGTGCCTATAAAAACTGTTCAGCACAGCCCTCTTTTGTCATTCATAACCCTCCAACAGCATGGGTTTTGGTATCTCCTGCCCCTTCCTCGCAGTAAAAAAAGGGTTAAAAAAAGAAAAGAAAAGAGGAAAAGAAAAAACCAAAAGGTTTTGGCTGTGAGCCAGATTGTCTGTCTCCTTTTTTTCTCTTCTGGCTGTGCTGTCTCTTTATATGGATGACAGGCCTTGGACGTTACTTGGCTCGCCAACACTGTGTTTAACATGGTGTACTGGATGAATAAATGCTAAAATAGTGTTTGTTGCCAGTTATAAGTGTTCCAGAATATCCTGTTACCCTCTAAGCTTTTTTTTTTTGAGTAATTTTGGGGAGCAGGAACACCAAGTATTTTAATCTGCATATTGAGGCAAAATGATCGTACCAACATCTTTGTTCTCTTATCGGTATTCTAATGTCTCCTTATTTAAAACCACAAATGAATTTCAGGAGATGAAACCAGACAAAGGGTGAAGTTTACAGACGATCGTGTTTGCAAGAGCCATCTTCTGGATTGCTGTCCTCATGATATCCTGGCCGGAACAGTGAGTATATTCTCTGTAATAAGGAATTCTGGTGAGGCAGATGTTGGTACAGCTCAGGGCTCAGCTGTGTGTCCTCAGTGACTTCTAGGAGGGATCAGGCTTTCTGTGCCCAAGGAGCAGTCACAGTTTTAATTTCATTTTGTGACCTGTGTATAGAACTACTCGGGAGCTCTGAGAATTCACTTGAAATGTTTTTTTCTCTCACAATCCCACGTGAAGCTGCAAGTTTATTTTGCTTTTAACAATTTGAGATGGTTTAGGTCCTGCAGTCTGTCACGGGGACGTCTCGACCATAGCTAGTCTCTGTCCTGGGTGCTCTAGTTCACCATTGCCTCTCCAGGTTAGCAAGTTTTTAGGGCCGACTTTGTCTTTAGAGTTGGTTGGCCGGAGCGGTGTGTGACGCGGCCCGACTGGTTTGAAACACTCGAGTCGGCTCCTTCACTGCTGCCCTCTGGGGACAGAGCTGGCAAATTTTCAAAGCTTTGGCTCTCATGTTCTCTCTGAGAGCAAAAGGTGACATGGGCTTTTAGCAGCGGAGATCTTGCAAAGTAAATATTCAATTTCGGTGCCCAGATGAAAGAAGCACTCTGACTTTGGAAAGAAAACAGTGTATGTGTTCTGTAATTGTTGCTGTATTACAGAATCGCAGGGTGGGGATGAGTGTAGATGTTTGAAATCCATCTTTACCCTCACTGTTTGACAGTAAATGCCGTGGCGATTCACATTGTCCATCCACTCAAGCAGATTGTTTAAAGATATTGGCGTTATTTATGGCCCTTCCTGCTGTTATTTCAAGAGCTGGGTTTGACACAGTGGGTTCCCTGCAGGGGGGAGGGCTGGCACTCCTTCCTCCCCGTGTGGTGCAGCGATAGCAAGACTCTGTGGCAGCACGAGTAGAGAGAGCTCTCGCAAAAGCTGCCTCAGCTCTGAGCGCTCAGACTTCAGCTTTTCGATGAATTCTGTTGCAGAATCAGGTTGGAAGTGGAGTACCAGTCTTCATAATTTCTGTATTTATTTTTTATTCATTTGAAGCTCAGATATTTTTTTCAGCGATCGCTCCGTCAGCCTCTGTATCCCCTCCCTCCATTTCAGCATTGTAAAGCTGCTCAAATCACCTTCTGCCCACCTCCATCCTTTCTGCATGTCACTCTGGGTAGAATATTTTTTTTTTTGGTAACATAAGACTTTACAATGTTTTTTTGGGGGCCAGAATGTTGGTTTGAAGGTGCAGGGAGGAGGCAGGCCTTCTGCCTCTTCGGGCACCCTTCCAGGAAGAAAGTAAATGGTGAGTCGAAGGGGTGGAATTTAGTGATGCGCGTGATAGTTGGAGCTAGTGCCAAAGCAGGGAGGAAGTGCTCAGATGGGTTGGGAGCCTCCTCGGGCAGAGAAGCACATTGAGAAATCTGTTTTCTCGTGCTCCTGTTGTTACTTGTCTGCAGTGAGGTGTCTCTTCCTGCGTGCGGTGAAATTTTTGCTCTGAAATGTCACACGGGAGCAGGAAGGAAAACCTCCTTCTGTGCAAGTGATGTTGTAGCTCACTCGGATGATCCTGTGGAGGCCTTTAAGTGGCCATGGAGCTCTTTACACCGCCGTCAGCAGGTTCTTGGGGACAAGGAAGAGCTTTGGTGCCACAGATCTGTGTTGAAAGAACATGTGCTGTTCTGGAATGGGAAGAGCATTTCAGTTGTCAGCGCTACCAGTACAGAGTGAAACGTAACTGGAATGTGCAGGCCTTCCTTGTGATCTTGGTCAGGTTCACTGGTATCTTGTGGTGCTCCATTAAAGGAAGAGCTGCGTGGGTGAACCAGCCCCAGCTGGACTGGGTAGCATCCATCTCTGGATGTGTATTATTGCAGAAATGGGGACCGAGGATCTTTTTGGAAATTTCCAACAGATGCTCCAAGCCTTCTGGTGCTGGTTATGTTACATCCTTCCCCCGAAGGCGTTGTTACTGCTGCATCCTTCACGTGTGCAGATATTCCTTAGTGGGAGGCTGATTGGAGGCGAGCAGGAAGCCGGATCCCTTGGGTAGCTGTGCTCGGTGAAATGTGATGGAGTCCCATTCCCTGACCTTCAGATGCAGGGTAAGAGAAGGAGTCCAGACTTTAAGTGAAGCTCTGGAATATTCCTGAGAGCTGCCAAGGGCGTGCTCATGTTTGCTTTGTTTACTTGGGCCAATATTCCTGGTCATAAAAGCCTTTGACCCCAGAAACTTGCCTAAACTTATCACTAAATAAACTACAATGGTTCTCATTTTGGTCCTCGTGGGAAAGGAGGAAAACTATAGGAGAACACAAGTTAAATATGCCCATGTGCTGTTACCAGGGCACTTGTCACTAGATCGTTAGTGGCCTGCACTGAGTTAGCTCTGCAGCTAACAATAAGCGTATTTTTTGTCTGTGGAAGTACTGCAGCACACTCAGAGGTGGCATCAGCTGGTAATTCTGAATTTTAGCTCCACTAATAAGAGGACAGATGAGTCTGAAAGCTGCCCAAGGAAAACATAGCTTTGAAATTACATTTGGGGAATTAATTGCATCCCCCACTGGGAGTTGTGAGTGAGCTGAAATCTGTAGGTTGCAGAATGGTTTCGTGGGGTTGCTTTCCTTTTTTATTTGGGAAAAGCTCTGCAGCTCTGATTACTATTAGAGAGCTTTCCTCATGGAAATAGACTTTCTGGTGAGTTAGCAGTTTAGTGGAGGTCATAAAAGATACCTCAGAAAGTGGATTGCTCGGCAAATGTGAGCAGGCCTAGTTATCAGTGGCATCTAAATGTATTAAATCTCTGTGTGTATGGGGGGTTAAATCTTTACCTGTCTCAAATACCTGTATTATAAACCAGCCACGGGTGTTGACTGGAGCGAGTCACGATCACTGCTGGGAAAAGGGTGAGTATTTGATGAGAGGCCTCCCTGAGACGAGAGGATTCTTTGAGACAGAAGGGCTAGTGGTTTTACCTGACGTGAGCAATACCTGGGAAAATCTCCATGCGCCTGGACCATCTCCAAGGACGTGGAGGAAGACTTGAGGTTGGTATGCTGGTGAGACCTGAACGTTCTCCCCCAGAGGAAGAGGTTGAGGGGGTCATTGCCTTTTAACAAACAGAGAGAGGAATTCAGAGCACGCTGGAGGCTCTTCTGAAGTTTTGGGTCACAGCCCGTTCTCTAAAGTGGAGCTAGGGGCTCAGCTTGCCAGAGGAGTTCAGATAAGAATAGTTATGATCTGTGACAATCACATCTAATATTGCTATTTTCTCCCTATATTGGAAAGGGATCTCAGTAGAATAACTGTAAGAATAAAAGATTTAAGTCCCATTGTGGAAAGTTATTTTTGTGGTAAAATAACAGTAGCTCGCTAGCATTCTTTGAAGAGGCTTAACCCGAAGATGAACACGATTAAGCTTTGAAAGTACCAGAATGCTTTTTTTTTTTTTTTGGTAGGCATTAAATTTCTATCATTAGAGAGCTCAGCAGGACTGTTCCCGGATGCGGTGTCTGTTTCTGTGGCCTGCTGCCCGTGGCCTCCTGTTTCTGGTAAATCTGAGCAAAATTAGGAAGGCTAAATCGTGGCAAGTCATCTGGATTTGTTTTCTTCGTTTAAAAAAAGAAAAGCTCCTGAGGCAGGTAATTGCATTACCTGGTGGAGCTTGCTTTAGTTGCTTTGCTTCTTTCTAAACTCCTCCGTTGCCGCTGAGTGCTTCACATAGGTGTCCCTGGCACCCCCACCTCTAGTTTGTGGTGTTCCACAGGGATTGTGTTGATCCCCATTTAGCTGTGTTTAGCTTTTTATGAAGTTTTGTGAGTTGACACCTATTTTGCTGTGTTGGGGTTTGGGCTCCTTGACTGGTGGTGACTGGGAAAGAAGAGAATGGCTGGCTGAGGTGTTCCTTCACGCGACGACATGTACCTGCCATTTATATTGTGGCTCATACTTAGGCCTGTTATTATTTTGGCTTTCAAAATGTCGTATTCTTTTTCTACTTCAAGAATAAGAAAAACGTTCTCTGTTACATACCGATAATGTGGAAATGCAATTTCCATGTTTTGAGAGCATAATTGGGTTCATGTGGCTCTTAAGTACTGGGTTGGGGAAAAATAACAAATTTAAATAGCATCGACTGCAGTGGGAGTGAAGCGCAGCATGCGAGTCAGGGCTTTCGGGGAGAGGAGATGCTCTCAAGAAGTCTTTCATTAGATGAGCTTATGCATAGGAATTAGCTTTGCTGGGCAGGCTTTAAAATCCCAGGCCACAGCTGCATGTAGGATGGGGCCAGCTGTAGAATTACGACTCTGCTGTTGCTTGAGTGTGGCTTTGTGCTTTTTTACTGGCCCGTACCCCTTATTCCCTTAAGTCTGTTTGTTCTTGGTAGGAAACATTCTGTCTGTGCTCTGTGATTTGGTATCTTTCAGTGCATTACTAGGCCTCCTCCTGGCACAGATGTGCTTTTCCAGGTGAGCTTTAAACAGGGAACAAAACTGGATGTTTTTCTGTGCTGTAGCTCCATAACAGGAGGCATTTGGTGCCCATTGAAGGAGCTGCTGTGGCAGTGCTCTGTCTTCCCAGCTCCCTCCCAGCAATTTCAAAGGCTGTGCTGTGACCTACAGCAGGAGTAGGACTGGACTTAAAACATTTGGGGTGTTTTAATGTTCCAGCAACACCTAGAAAATGAGTTCTAGCAAGCATGTGGTTTTTCTAGCTAGTTCTGTTACTGACAGGGTAAGAGGAAGCTCTTCTGCCTAAAGAGGGTGATATTTTGATGTCATACAGTTGGCAAGAGTTAAGTAGCTGCTACTTGTTGCCATAATGGAGGTTTCTTACATTGATTTTCCTTTTTTCTTTTCAACAGCGAATGGACCTGGGAGAATGTACGAAGATCCATGACTTGGCACTGCGAGCAGATTATGAGATTGCAAGTAAAGAGAGAGACCTGTTTTTTGAGCTGGATGTGAGTACGGAGGCATTTTTGTTACTTTTTTGGAAGCTGCCACTTGAAAGTTACTTGCCTGAAGAGTAGAACTCAGTGGGCGTTTCAGCTAGCCCTGTTATTTGATGTGTTATCTGACAAGAATGTGAAGCCCCTTCCCAAATGCCAGCTTGATTGCTGACTTGAAATTGTAAAACTAATTATGATCCTTGCAACCCCATTAGTCCAGCTAGCTGGGAGGCTCCTCTGGCATTCCTCACATCCCACACCTCCTGCTCTGGACCAGGTCATTGTAACCTGGTGGCCTGTCCCAGAAGGTGATTTGACATTAAAAGCCTTCTGCTCTGTGGTTTCGCTTTTGTCAGATTTAGCTTTCTGTGATGAAGGGATCAAGTGGAAGAACATTTCTGTCTTTTTTCATGTTAGTCCAGTGCTTTTGTCTTTGCATCTGGTGCTCATGTGTCAGAAGTTCCAGTGCAAAGCACTCTTCATGTGAACATCCTTTTACGTGTCAGAGTAAAGGAACTGTGTCAGGTTCCAGACAGATGACAGACTTAAGGGCAGGGAGCAAATTTTACTTTTTCTCCAAAGTGTTACATATTTTTTCTCAAGGCATTCATTCTTGAGGTTTTTTATGTGTTATACAAGCATTGCACCAGGTAGCTGTTGGCTGTCAAAGCTAGATGAGGCATGGAGAGCATCCTTACTCAAAATTCTTTGTCTGAACACGCAGGCGATGGATCACCTGGAATCCTTCATCGCAGAGTGTGACAGGAGAACAGAACTGGCCAAGAAACGCCTGGCTGAGACACAGGAAGAGATCAGTGCTGAAGTGTCTGCAAAGGTATTGTCTTCTCAATAAAGGTTTGTTCTGGAAGTCTGTGCAAGAGCACTGGTCCTCTCTGGTCTCTGACACCATTGATACTGGAAATGTAGGCTTTGTGGGTTCCAGCCATCCTCAAATGCTGCTCTGGCTGCATTTGTAGACAAATGTAGAGGTTCACAGGGCCATAGAAGCATAAAACATGAACTCTAAAATAGGTTGCTTTAGTATGGCAATAAAGCATTGGTTTCTTCCCTACTATTCAATGTTAATACAATAGCTTAGACTAGTAGATCCATCCCATGATTGTTGTTTTTCACTTAACAAATGCTCATGAAGGTTCCTCTTTGGGAGCATCCTTCATCAGGACAATACAAAGCATTTCTGAAGCTGGTTTTGTGGACTCTATTCTGTCCTGCAGGCCAGAAATGGGCCACTGTTTGCAGTAAAACTGATGATGTCCCCTCCCTTTCCGGTTCCTCTCTTTGCTATGTGTCTGTGACAGCATTGCCTGTACTTGGTCCACCAGTCCCTTTTTGTTGGGACTCCTTTGACTTTTGGAGGTTTATGGTCATCTTCCAACAACTGCTTTTGTTAAACAATATTTCTTTTAGAGGGAGAAAGGAGAAGTTGTCCTGCAAGCTTTAGCAAGTTTTTTGTCTTACTAAAAACTAACTATTCTCTTTAGGCAGAGAAAGTACATGAACTGAATGAAGACATTGGAAAACTCCTAGCTAAAGCTGAACAGCTGGGAGCTGAAGGAAATGTTGACGAGTCTCAAAAGATCCTGATGGAAGTGGAGAAAGTCCGAGCAAAAAAGAAAGAGGCAGAGGTATGGCCCTGGTTCATCTCTGAGCTGGAATGAAGAACTGAGCTTGGCTGAGTTTGTGACAAACAGCTGGGTGGTTCCTACCTCTTTTCCTAGTGAAGAGAGGTGACTGGGATGGGGAGGGATGGGGGTTGTCCTCTGAAGTACTTGGTCGCTAGACGTGTCCAGTTTAGCTGTGCTGGAAAGTGTTTTGTATGGCACCTCCTTTATATTGAGGGTGTTCTTGTGATTTTTGAAAGCGTCGGGGCGATTTTTTGCCGGGGTTTCCCTGGAGGGTTGTGACTATGTAAGGGCTCCCTGACATTTGCATGGTTTTTTTCCCCTCCCTTTAGGAAGAATACCGAAATTCAATGCCTGCATCCAGTTTCCAGCAGCAGAAGCTGCGAGTGTGTGAAGTCTGCTCAGCATATCTGGGGCTCCATGACAACGACCGGCGTCTTGCTGACCACTTTGGAGGCAAATTACACTTGGGTTTCATTCAGATTCGTGAGAAACTGGATCAGCTGAGGGTAATGATCTCTGTCTTAAACCCTCTCCTTGTAGTTCTGAAGACATTCCACACTTTTATTAAATCCATACAGGATTCTTCGCAGAATGCTTGTAGAAGCCCAGACATTTCTGATTGAAACTTCAGATGGAAGTTTAAGTAGCTTCATCTTGGGTTTTGTTCTGTAATTTCCGGGTATCTAAATATATACCCTCAGAATTAGTCAAACCAGACCACTGCTGTCATTTCTTCCTTAAGTACACGCGACTGTACCGTTGCTCTTTCTCATTGTTTTGGCTGAAATTTGTCACTGGGGGTTTTTTGAATATTGAAGAGCACTTTGAGGCCTCTTAACAAAACGCTTGAACTGAAGTTTCACATAGTGCTGTCAGTGAAGATGATCTTCAGTAGTTGAAGTGATTACAAGTTTTCTGGAGTGATTTGTAATGGAATTGCAGTGCTGGTCTTGCTTGCAAACACAGACCTTCAGCCTGCTTGAGTAACCGTTGTGAATCCTGGGCCTTATTCCCTAAACAGTATATTGAGCTCACTGCCTCAGTTGATCATCGGTGCGAGGCAAGAGCACTGTTTCCTTGAGTCGTGTGTGCTCGTGGTGAGACAGTCCCTTGTCTTAAAGCTTATGGGCTTGTCTCTGAGAGCACTCAAAGAGAGGCATTTCTTGCATTGATGTATGTTAGTGAAGTTGTGAGGAAAATGAGAACCTCAACAGAGATCTTGACTAGCACATTAAAATACAGTGAAATGGTTCTTTATCTTACTACCTTTGTCTTCCTACCCGAATAGGTAGATTTGCAGTCTCCCTGCAGATCTCTCTGACCTGTTACTGTGTAGCTGAAATGCAATGTGAACTCTTTTCTAGAAAACAGTGGCAGAAAAGCAAGAGAAGAGAAACCAGGACCGTTTGAGACGGAGAGAGGAGAGAGAGCGAGAGGAGAGAATGGGCAGACGGTAAGTGGAAGCTGATAACTGGTTTTGAAATAGCCTGATTTCTTGCATCTGACCATTTCAGGAGAGCAGCATCTGCTGCAGGAGCAACTGTTGGAAATACTCCAGATGCTGTGTGAGCACCTTGGCATTCAGTTGAAGATGAAAACAAATGAACAAAAACCCCCACCTTAGAGTGATTGTATGTGTATTGTTTTAACTGAAAGATGTGAGCTTCCTGTAGTCTTCAGGCTTATATTGGTCCAGTCCCTGTCTTGGGGAATCTGGATAAAATGCCCTCATCCAGTGCATCTGAGTGGGAAGGTTTAAGATGAGTGAGGACTAGGTTTTCTCAAATGATGCTAGTCATGCAAAAATTCCCTGGACATCCCTCCTCTCGTCCAGTGGAATGGAGCTGGGATCTGTGAGCCGGATGGCGGGCTCTCTCTCTTGCTCATAAACTCATGTTTCTTGCTCATGTTTCTATCATAAGTGAGGTGCTTTTGGCACAGCTTTGGAAAACTTCCTAGGGGATCCAGAGAATCCCAAGGAGTGGCTGCTTCTGGTGGTTGTGGCCATACATGTCACCTTCTGCTCATACGTGTATAATCCCTGAAGAGCAGGAGTGGCTGCAGTGTTGGTATTCTCAGGACAAGTTCTTCTGCCTCTTGCAAGCTGAACTGGGAAAGCTATTTCTTCTTTAGTTGAACAGGCATCTTGTGGGTAAACAGCTGAGTTAAACAGCCTGGTGTGGAGAGGGTGGTTATTTCCAGTGGTCAGGCAGAGGAAGTGGCTGAGGAGGAATGCTGTTCTCATTGTCACAGCGCTTCCCCGGTTACCTCACGTGTTTCTCCTCTTCTTGTGTCAAAAAACCCAACCTTGCTGCCTGTGGAAAGCTTGATTTGATCCTTGGTGTAAATTGCAGAGTGTGTTTCAGCCATCCATGTCAGAGCCATGAGAGAGATATAACTGCAGTATCCTCTAAGATGGGCCTTGCTTCTGGGTATATGTTGCTGGAAATGCTGGCAAATAAATACCAGGATGGAAGCAGCTTGGTGATTTTGGAGTATTGGGAAGATGTAAGCCCCAAATTATTATGCATTCTCCAATTAGGGTGTTTTATGTGAGTTCTCTCTCTCTGTGAATTGCCTGTTACTGTATGAAATGCCATGGTATGAAACGGCAGCTTTCTCCTGAACTGCAGCACTTGATGTAGAGCCTCGCAAATTTCTGGCACCGGTGCAAGATTGTCAGTAAGGCAGTTATATTTGGGACCTGCAGAATCTGGAACTGGCTGACGAATGCAGGAGTTAATCAGAAGGGACTGATGTATGTTGTTGCTGAGGACAGAAAGATGGAGGTGAAATAAGAGGTGTTCCCATGCAGCTCCTTCATGGCAGCCCCTTCCAGACCAAGAGTAGGACCATATCTAACCTGGACTTGGTCTCGCTGTCTCCATGGAGCCTCTTCTTCCTGGAGATTGTTCCTCTGTGAAAATTGCTCAACAGAGCTGTTTTCAGGAAGAGTTCTCTGGGTCTCCCCAGAATGCTGCCTTTCTTCCTCCTGTGGCATATCTGTGGTTTTGGCTTTGTGTTCTGTTTCGATTTTTTTTTTTTTTTTTTTTTTTTTTAAATCTCAGTTCCTGAGAGTTACGGAGCTTCTTGTGTTCACAGGTGCATCTGATAAGGGGGTTTGAAGATGACTTTTGAATATGTCATGCTTTAAATATGAGGGGTTTAAGAACTGTATGGAGTTGGCCTAAAGCCCGAGTTCTTGCTGGTTCTGTAAGTGGCACTACTTAGAGACTGTGGTCAGCCTTTGCTCTCGCTCCGTTTGGGGGCATCTCTGTGCTCCTCTGTTCAGATGCCAAAGCAAAACATGTTATGAAGGAGCCAGGAGTGCCATACAGAGGAGGTCAAATTATTTGCCTCTCCAAAATGAGAACTTGACCCAAAGAAGGAAAATAGTTTTCCCAGTGGACGCTTAGTGTCAGAACTGGGACCAGAGCCCAGATTTCTCAATTTCTCAGCACCTTCTGATCTGGGAGCTGTATAACACCATGCCTGCAGGGACATTTTTCCATCAAAAACAAATCAGAGGCTTATACTGCCCTTTCAGGCTGCCTCTTTTACGTACAGCTTGATACTTGAAGGAACCACAGCAAATATATTGCCTTCATAATTCTTCTTGTCCTGTCTTCATATACACCATCTTCATGGTGTTACTGAGTAAGAGAAAGAGTTCCACTTGACTTCAAGAAGCTTTTGTTGACTTACAAGCACCATAACATATGATGGAAACCTGTAGATTCATGTGTGAAACTTGCTCTTGTACACTTTATTAATTTGCCAACTAAACTGTGATTTCTACATAGTAATGAGTCAAGTGAGTTGTCAGCCCTAGTGGCAGATAAAGACAAGTCTTCTGTGTTGTTTTGTGTCGGTGGTGACTGTGGGCTGCCCTGTAATCTCTTAAGACTGCAGCTCTGTGGAGAGGTGACATGCTTGGAAGAGCACACCTCGGTATTTGCCTCCGGAGTACAGCGGCAAACAAGTCCAGGTGGAGTTGCCAAATGGATTTCCTTTGTAATAATTGGACAAAAACACAGGTTATGAAACTCAGCATGTAACCTCTGTGAGGCAGGGACAAAATAGAGGGGAAAAAAAAAACATTCTCAGCCTCTCACTTCTCTGGACAATGGTCTTCTACTGTCTCCTGCTGTGCACTGATTCGGGCTAGTAAGGAAAGTGCTGTTTTGTTGGATGCTTCCTGAATTCTGAAGTCTAGCATTAGGGAGTGATTATCAGGAGTTTATTGTGCAAACTCCTGCTCAGATCATAGGCGTGGAAGGGCAGCCAGGCTTTTCAGGGGATATGGAATGGCTTTGTGTGGATGTGTGCACCGGTGATTCAGAATAAAGTGATCAGGAGGAAAAGAACATTAAGAACTTGGAGTAATTACAACCACCAAAAAAAAAAAAATTCGGCTGCCTGCCAGGCATCTACAGGAGGTCCTGCTGCTCTGGCAGGTTCTGTTACATGAAAAAGGAGGTGTGTGGTTATGGCCTTGCTCTCCTGGTTTATCAGCTTTTCCTTCATCTAATGTCTTGTGCGTTGCCTCAGCGCGTGGTTCGTTTGCCTGACTCCCAAGTTCAGCTCCACCTTGTTTACAGTCTTTCTGCCTGAATTCCTTTCTAAATTTCAGGTTTGTTTTTGTTTTCATTCATTCTACCATGATTGAACAATCCCATTTCATGGTGAAGGAATGTCAGTACGTTGATTCTCTTAATCTTGTCTTATCCAAATATGGTTTTAAATGATGTTATTAAAATAGATGCTTCTTTATTTTAAAAATTTTGCCTGTGTGTAGCTTTCATCTGTATCTCTTGTTACAGTGCCAGAACAGGTCTGTGGCTGTGTAACTGGAACACCCCCTTGAGTCTGTATGCAGTGGGGAGATGGGAATGGTTACAAGAGTGAGTCTCTAGGGAGACCAGCCGCTTCTCAATTAAAGCAAAAAGACCTCGTTTGGGCAGCATGTGATGTTTTGGTGTAGGCTGGCTCTGAACCGGGGCCATAGAGAGAAAGAGAGGGCGTATCTTTCACGTGGAGTGATATTTTAAGTGGCATTGAGTAATGGCTCTTCTGGAGTTGAAAGAATTATGACGTTGTTATTTACAGGCTGTCAAAAGCTCTTGCTGACAGCATTAAGGTTAGAGCACCGTACGTGAGCTCTGAAGCTGTGGAAATGGGAGAAAGAATAGTGAGTCTTCACTATTCCTCACTATAATAGTGAGTGATTGTGCTCAAGTTGCTTTCCTAAGTCTGGGAGGAAGGATTTTCTGTGTATCGCAGTTACTTTTCAGTAATAATTCTTCCCTTCTGTCTGTGTCCCCCTCGTTAATTTTTTTTCTAGCTCATCTTTCCCAAACAAGAAAATAAAATAATTGATGCAAATTTCCATCCGATGTTTGTTAAATATGATGAGTGAGAAAATCCTATATTTTCTCTATTAAAACCTTTTCAGTGTGCAACTACCTCAAAGGAAGTGAAATCAGAAAACAGCAAAGTCTCTTTTTGACTGGAGAGTGGCATTTTTTCTTGAAAATGTTAGAGTTGATCTAGTTGATGTGAGACTGCAGAGGGTAAAGCGTATATATCGAATATGCACGGCAGACAAAGTAGGAAAAGTTCATTGTAGTCTCTTATTAACAGAGACTGAACTGGTTTTTAGACTTTTTCTATTTTGACAAGAAGCTCTGCACGTAGAAACTAGTGTTTCTACAGAGTTCTTCACTTTTTCACACATTCCCATTTCCCCTGCCCCCCAGATTGAAGTTAATTGTTTAAATGTTTTTATGGCTAGCTTCTTTTAACTGACATTACCTGGGGTATTGTGTTCCTGTGATGAGCTGCCAGGGTGAATGGGTTGTTTTATCAAAAACGTGCTGACTAGATCATACCTTCTCTCACTTAACTCTCCTCTTCTTTCTAGGTCTGGATCAAGAAATAGAGATCGTCGAAGGTGAGTGTGCAGTTCTACAGTTCCCCCAAATACGTGTTTGTGGTTCTAAGTAGCTACTGAGGTTTTTTCTGGGTCTCGCAAAGGGAGTTCACCCAGTGCCCCAGTCTCCTTGTTTTGCTCCCTGAAAGAAATGTGAGTTATGGCTTGGGACTGCAGTGGTGCTGTGCAATTTAATGTCACCTGCTGGGCTACAAAACATATAGCAGCTTGCTTAGGCAGGACAGAGGGTGCTGTGTGCTCCCCAGTACAAGCCTAAGAAAGTGCTTGAGGCCTTTTTCAATAAATATCTAATATACTTTCATAGTTTTGATGTCTGGAATACGTCTGTTAGGTTTATAATACCTCAGGTAATAAAAATACAGAGATTCAAGATGAAAGCTCCCCACATCTCTGTGAAGAGCTTGCCTTGGCGGCATGACAGCCTTCTCTCGGCGATCACCTACCTGGAGATCTGCTGCTGCTTTCTGTATGCACCGGCATCCTTTCTTTTGTTTTTAGAGCAGATTAAAACAGATCTGCTTCTAAGTGCAATCCTTTAACAAGGGAGGTTCTCCTGGGGCAGGCTGCCATAGGGGTTATGGTAATTTCACCTGCCGTGTCCTTTGGCCTCTCTTCTACTTACAGAGGCCTTACTTTGAGCAAGTCACAGTTGGTAATCTCTGCTTCAGGCATCAGCACACGCTTACATTAATGGTGGGAGCTTTTTATATAAGCTTCCCAGCAACACAGATCTACCCATTGGCATTTTGTTGGTAGCACGAGGCCCAGGAGGGAGATGCCCACCCTCTGGGAGATCCTGCGTTCTGTGCTGGGAGGATGAGTGCTGATGCTGTGGGTATTTGTTGTTGGGAACGTGTGAGAGGAAGGCTGAGGTGTACAGATCCTGTGTATTGGGCCATCTCCTGAGTCTGAGACAATCTGTGTCCTCTTCAGATCACGGTCTCGGGACAGGAGGCGGAGACGCTCGAGATCGGCTTCCCGTGAGCGGCGGAAGTCTCGCTCCCGCTCCCGAGACCGACACAGACGCCACCGGAGCCGCTCCCGCAGCCACAGCAGGGGTCACCGACGGGGGTCCAGAGACAGGAGTTCAAAACACAAGTATGTATCCCTGACATGAGTGCTTCTGGAAAGGGGAGCCCTTGGCATCGCAGTGAGCCTCCCCAGTCCCTTAGAGCGAGCAGGAGCGTGACCAGTTTCTCCAGTGAGCAGCTGCAGTGTCCTGTGCCAGCTCCTGGGCCAAAGCAGGGTTTCCAGTGGCTGTTGGTAGATGGCCTCCTGTGAGAGCAGTAGGGCAGTAACTACAGTGAGATCCCAGCTTGAGAGGAGTCCAGGAGATAGAACTGGTTCCCTGATTTGTGGTGCTGAGCCTTGAGAAGTTGCTGGTTTTCTTGCAGAACCAGCGGCACAAAGGCCTGCTTAAGCTGACTGAGCCTCCCCAGGCCTGGAAAAGCCAAGGAACTGAGAGGCAGCTTTGATGTTTCATTTCTGTGGTTATCTTCTATTTCCCAGCTGCTTTCTCTCCGTGCTGGCAGGGGGAAAGAAGTGTAAGATTTGGGATCTGGGGGAAGCAGATCTGTTAGAAGGCTGCTTGAGAGAGAGAGAGACAATTCTTTAGGAATCTGCAGTGGAGGGGAGGGGAAAAGGAAGCTAGGAGGAGGAGTATACCATCCTCCTCTTGCCGAGGAGAAGTGCTATAATCTGAAGAAGGGCTTTAAGTCTCTTCTGAAACTCGGCAAAGCACCTGCTGTGTTGGAGGAAGGATGAGGTGAGCATATGTGGGAGTATTAGAAAAATTGAAAGGAATCATTGTTTTCTTACAGCCCTTCTAAGCCCAGGAGCGAGGCTATCACCAGCTGCTTGCTGAAGTCAGATCTGGCTTTTTTTAAAAATGCTCCTAAGTAACAGGGGAGTGCTTTAGCACTGTCTACTCTGATTAGGCACCACCACTCAAGTACAGTTCTAGAAACCTACTGTTGTGTGTCTTGTGTCCCTTTAGCTAAGGGGTAAGAACAGGTTTTAAAGATACCTGATGAAGGGGAGGGAAATAACGGTCTGAAAAAACAAAGTCTGTTAATAATTGTTGGGGGGTGTAAATACTGTTGATTCTCCAATGGCTGAGATACTAAAGTCCTTTTTTAAATCTGTCTTGAACATGAAAAATAAAGAAAAGAAGTTTGGACAATTAGGAAGTGAGGAAGACCCTGTAATAACTATTACTAAAGAGCAGGTAAGGGATTACTTCGAAAACCTTGACAAACCCATTGAAATCAGCCCATCGAGATCGTAGGGGGATTGGCTAGCTGGCATTCTTCACAAAATTGCTGAGAACTGGCTAGAGACGAGGATCAGTTTCAGAAAATAAACCAAAAGCAAAGGGACAAACAGAAAAATCCCATTCTTTGAAAGTGTAGCTTCTGTTTTCACTTCGAGAATTAACAAAGCCTGTGTTCAGGTTCTGCTGGTCCAAGGTCTCTGTTCTAGAAAGAAACGGAGAACTTGTTGCAGGATCTGGAGATCTCGGGGTAGGAGGACCACGGGCAGCAGGCATTGCTGCAGGGACAGGAAAGGAGTTAGTCTTACCAGACAGACTCATGTAGTCTTCCTGTTAAATGACACAATTTAATGAAAATGAAATGGCTCATGTGATATGGAGGGCTGTAAGGTTTTAATATATCCATTTGTGCAGTATTTCCAAACCTTACATCAACGTGAATGAAAGCTGGAACCTCTAAGGTTCCTGCCAGGCCTGCCTCTTGTGACTGTAAAGAAAAAGCTGTGTAGTGAGTCCTGCAGTAAAATGCACTGTCTCTGTCTGGTTCTGCTGCCAGAGCTCCGTGGGGATCACCTTTTTAAGGCAGCTGGCATGAATTGTACAGGAAAACAGCCTGTTCAGATTGGACCTAACTCGAAGCCTCTGCTTAATTTTGCGTGGGCTGATACCAGCGAGGCACTGCTGAAAAGCTGGGGCTGTGATCCGGGCAGGCTGTGAAAAGATTTCCCCGTGTTATGGGCTGTGAATATAAATCTGTATCATCCTGACTTTGAACCCAGGGTGCTGCCAAGGACACCGCCTGTCAGGATGCAAAGCAGAAAAAAAGCCCAGGGCTTAACAGGCTTTTGACTCCAAAGAATACAGTTGGCATTTAAAACAGTTGAGCAGAAAGCTACTAGCTTAGAGCATAGTGGAAAAAAAAAAAAACATTCTAGAAGACACAAACAGAGCTGAGTGATAGAGGAGGAAGAAATTGCAGGCGCTTCAGTATGGCCCAGTGAACTCATAAGGGGCCCAGGGAAGATTTCAGAGAGCCCCTATGGCAAGAGCTTGAAAGGATGACTTTAGGGAGAGAGTAACGAAGGCCATGCGGTGCACTCGGCGCTGCAAAGCTGATTTCACTGAATTTCAGAGTTGGAAGGGACCATAGAGATCATCTAGTCCAACTCCCCTGCTGAAGCAGGATTGCCCAGAGCTTGTCAGAGCATGTTACTCAGGAGCATCCAGGCGGGTCTTGAAAATCTCCAAAGAAGGGGACTCCACACCCTCCCTGGGCAGCCTGTTCCAGGGCTCCGTCACCCTCACTGTGAAGAAGTTTCTCCTCCTATTTGAGTGGAACCTCTTATGTTCCAACTTGTGCCCGTTGCCCCTCGTCCTCTCACTGGGAACCACTGAAAAGAGTCTGGCTCCCTCCTCCTTCAACCCTCCCTTGAGATACTTGTCAGCATTAATAAGGTCTCCCCTCAGCCTTCTCTTCTCCAGACTAAAGAGTCCCAGCTCTCTCAGTCTCTCCTCATAAGGGAGATGCTCCAATCCTTGAATCACCTTTGTTGCCCTTCGCTGGACTCTTTCTAGTAGTTCCCTGTCCCTCTTGAACTGGGGAGCCCAATGTTCTCCTGCATGAAGCTCGGGGAGGGCCCGGAGTTGCTGTTTTGGGGGACGCTGCTCCCACCATCGCAGTACCCAGGCCCATTTCCGTAAGAGACCTGCATTACACCACAGCCCCCTTAGGGACAGCTGATGTCACTTTGTGCGTGTTTGCAAATGGTTTTAGTTGTGAAGCTGATAGCGACGGTTTACTTTGTACTTCAGATCTTCTAGAGATCGATCTTCAAGAGAAAAGTCACGAGACAGAGAGAGAAAAGAGAAGAGCTCTTCTGAGAGGCGGCACGAGAGCACAAATGGCAAATCTCGTTCCAAGAGATCAGAAGAGAGAGAAGCTGGCGAGATCTGAACTCAAAACCGATCTGTGTTGCACTGTAAATAGTCTGATAAACATTCTACACAAAAGCCTAAATTTCCCATTTATATTTACTGAAATACGACTCATCTTTTGTAGTTTGGAATTTTTATTGTTTGGCAGATAGCTGTGAGTTTGTAGAGACGCAGAGTTACGTACTGTTTAACAGGATTTTGTTTTTAGTAGAGGAGTAAATCAATCCGGAGGGACGGTTTCCCGGTTTGAGGCCGGTGGTTGGCACCGCGCTGCGTTTGTCCCGACCCAGCCAAGGCAGCCCCCCAGCTGCTGGCACATTTCTAACACCTCAGCCCTTTCCAAAAAAACATCTACCCTGACCCTTGGTGAGCACACCACTAGCACTGGTTCTCACTTAATTAATTGTTGGTTTTTTTCCCCTTCTGTTTATACATGTTAAGAGAAATTCAGAAGTGGGTTGGTTGGTTGGGGTTTTTTTTTTTCTTCCCTTTTTAGCGCTTTAGCCACCTCATTTCTGTGTCTCCAGTGTTTAAGAGTTGCCTCACTTATTCCAGCTAAGTCAAGACAGACAAAATTTAGCCCCGATCTGCCTATTTTGAAAGCTGCTCAGCTTTGTAAGGATGACCAAATCGGCTGGAGCACGTTCTAAGATGGGCTTAAATCTGGTTTTAGTACCTTGACAGATCAAATGCTGGGTGTTAAATAAGCAAAACGGTGAAAAAAAATCTTGATTTTTTTATTTTATTTTTTTTTTCCTGTAGAGGAGTACAGCCACAGCTACTCTGCCTATTTACTGTGCACTCCAGAGTCAGGGCTTCCTCCGGGGAGTCTTCTGACTTGCAAAAAAACCCAACAAAACCAAACAAAAAGCGTTGGTGTATGTTTTTTAACAGGCTGGTCGGGCAGAACTTGGCCGAGTGGCAGAGGTGACTCGGGATGGGGCGCAATCCGGGGATGGGGGGGGGTCAGGAGAGGAGTCACCCCTCTTCCCTCTGTGCCCCTGGGGAACCAGCTGTGTCCTAAGGCCTGCTGGGGAGGAATTTGCATATTGTAACTAGCTTATTTGTAACTAGGTTTATTTTACACTAGGGGAGGAAGGCCGCCTTGCTGCCCCAGCCGCGCTCCTGAACCCCCCACCCCCCCCCGGGAGGGGTATTTTGTGAGAACTGTGTGAGTAAAAGCACTTGCCAGCCCGCTGCTCGTTAGCTGGGTGAGCCTGGCGTCTTTTAATTAAAGACGGCTGGCTCTCAGGTCTCGGGTGTCGGTCTGTCAGTGCTGTGTGTCCGGTCGGTG